CACATCTTAAACACATTCAAGAAAAATGCATAATTGAACTGATCCTAACTTATATAAATAAAATTGGTAAGATATTTTCAATAACATTGAAGACTAACAAGTCATTTCATAACGGTATAAAATGCACATAGAAAGTAAACATTTAAATCCACAAAAGAATAAAATATGCAAATTATGAGTTGTACGTTTTTAGGTTTTCTGACATAAGACTCGTCCCACTACAGTAATATGGGGTGCATCTCGTTTCTGATTGGTGCAAATCAAATCCTTAGAAATGTGCCATAGGCTGCCATAGGCTGCTATATCCCTGCTGCTACATTCTTCGCTCTCAGTGTGTAAACGCGTCTTGGCACCAGTTGCACGGGCGCAAAGACGCCTGATTGGACGCCGGGGCGAAGGACGCAATATTTAAAGACTGCGCTAGTTTATCGCCAGGAATCATACCGTTATGAAATCTAAATATGTGACATGCATTTTTTTTAAATCTATCAACATCTATAATGCATGCCAAATCTCCATTTAATCCAATGACAGCAGGGGCGAGAAATTATAGAATATAATTCTCGTCGAGTCTGCGCAGCATTTACCTCTCGGTGTCTTCCAGCAGACCGCCCTCCCTGCTCCGTATCCGCAGTGAAGTGGAGACAGACAGCCGCACAGGCTGAGTGCTGAATGAGAGGAAGAGGAGTTCTTACACAAGTCAAGCTGCAGCACGGGATGATGCAGAGATGGCCAGTGTAGAAAACCCAAATAGCCCCCTTTCTCTTACCTCTCCATGCATGCATGCAGATCCAGAGGGGGGTAAAATGGGTAAAGATGGCTGTTTGGGGGTGATTATACGTTTCTTCTCTCTCCCTCCTTTTTCCAACATTCTTTCCCTTTTCCTCCCTTAGTAAATCCTCCACACCCCTCCATCCCATCCACCCTTCTCCTCCTCCTCTCCCTCTTTCCACCAGCACTGCTCTCCCCTCTCTCGGTGAATAAAGAGAGTGCTGGCCCCCAGGTTCCGTATCACCGTGGAGGCTGCAGCAAAAACATGCTGTTCTTTAAAAGTTGACAAAAGGGGAGCGAGCCTCAATGCTGCAACACCTGCATATTTAAAACACACCGGTCCGTTCTGTTTTGCCAGGGTTAAAGGCATTTGGCTCAACGTCAATTTAATTTATATCTATGAATAAAATATTTGTTTGTTCTAAATTTTACATTGTTGTTTTCTTTGGCATTACACAAAAAAACTATCATGTTCACAGACGGCTCTTACCCTCTCACACAGGTTTTTTTCTCTGTGTATGAGGCGTAGTGTTGAGTAGTGTATACCGGATTAAATGGCACCTCACCTCTCCTCCCCTCCTCTCCTTTCATCATCAGCAAAATAAAGATTAGGCCTACAGACGAGATTGTAAAGGCTCTGCTCCTTTTGGAGGCGCGCGGATCCTCATTCCTCCGCCTTTGTGATGATATTGATGATGATGATGGTCAAGTGGACAGTTTGATTTTTGTGTGGCGAGCTAGTTATAAAGAATCAATATTATATCAAGGGGGTAACTTTGGTGATAAAGGACTTCAGCCACTCTGGCTATTCATCATAAGTCTGTAGCAAGCAGATAGGTCAAAAGAAATGATATTGCTCTAAAGAGTGTGTCTCCTTATCTCCGGGTAGCAGGGGAGCGGAGGACACGCCGATCGATACAGTAGCTGCCGTATACTGCTTGCAATTATCAATAGCCGATTTTGTCTTCCTGCAGGGGCTGCATCTATTAATACCAGATAATAACAGCCTTTTGGACATAACTTCTAAGGGATGATGGAAGGCGCAAAACGACGCGATGAAAGGGACGGGAGAGAAAAAAAGTTTGCTCACAGGACGACCTTGATGTCAACAGATTGGTCTCTTATATGAGGTGGACACAGGGGAATAGACAAGCCAAACAGACAAGAGGGAGAGGAAGAGTCAGGAGGAAGGAGGGAAGGGAAGGGGGAGCGAATGGAGGGAGGGAGGGGCTGCTTAAACACCCTATTTCTCCCCAACTAAAATAACAGCACTGGAGCTTCTCAACACACCATGACACCATGTCACTTCATTCATTTTCAAAACGTTAATATAATTTATAACAATAACACGAAGGCCTTTAAAATTATATTTTTGCATTCCTACAATATATTTTATAAATGTAAGAAATAAAAATGAATAGTTAAAACATCGATAAATGATCGATATCATAATATATGACTGTTTCCTATTCCCTCTGACCACAAACAACACAACCATTGTGTGATCTCATACATTTTCATGCGAGAGATTTTTTTTCTAAATAAAGGTTAAAGCGATGATTCCAAACCACGTGCTTCCGAATAAACGTTTATTATCTGTTAAAAATAGAAAGACAATAAACCTCTTTACGTCACATATAGACCTTACGTTATTACAGGTAATCACAGAATCCCCTGCATTGTTAATTATTATCATTATTAAAATGTATTTCTGACAGTCACTTATATTAATTGTGGTCAGCTCCAGGCTCTGCATTTCCATTGGATGGCACCGCGCGTAAAATGTCCCAAGCACAGATTAAGACATAAATACTGCGTGTGTATCATGGGAAAACACAAAAACGACATAAAAATAAACACCAATCTCACATGTAGAGTTGTGTGCGCAGTGTGTCTTTTACAGGCGCTGACAGGTCACAGTTTGACGTTATTCTGTGACGGGAGGTCAAACGGTGGCTCTGTGGCTCAGAGGACGAGCATTGAACAGTAACGTGGTGGTACATCCTAGTGGCGGCTAAAAGCATTGGGCTGAACCTCTGCTTGGGGGTTAACTCAAACACACACACAGAGAGAGAGCGCAGTCCCTCTCTGTCTCTGCCTCTCTCTCTCTCCCTCTCTCACTCACTCCCTCATACACACACACTCACGCAGGGACACACGCGTGCGCGCAGAGCCCTGTCCAGCGCCGAGAGACCGACATCGCGACTAGGCTTCCAGAACACAACTTCCAACTGAACCCAAGACCAGAGTCAAAGGCTGAAGTTCACTTTTTTATTGGGAAAATAAGCCTCGTCTGTTGCGTTCGGTTCCCGGAGAACCCAGGTTTGAGGAGGGCGAAAAGGCGAAGGCGCAACCCGGGGGGATAAATCCCAGGGACGGGAAGAAGGAGGAGGAAAAGGAGGAGGAGAACGTCAACGCGACCCACGACACCGAGGCGTCATTTCTTTCTTTTTTCTGGGACAGATGAGTTTTCACCCACATTGACTTTTGTTTCATTGACAAAAGAAAAAGGAGACTTTTTTCCACTGTGGCACCGCTTTATCGAAAAACGCGCATTAAACTTTAAACAGCAAGAAAAACAAAAAGTGTTAAACCGTCAAACTTCATCTCATTCAGACTGCGTCTACTTTTTGACTAAACTCTTTTTGGGAAAAGAGCCAAACTGTGTGTATTTTGATTGGAAGATGCCCATGAAGACAACTTCACCCGTCCCACAGACTGTAAACACCGCCCGGTGAGGAAGGAGGTGCGTGAGGGGAAAAAAAAAAGTTACCGAGAGAGAAAAGTGCCAAGACCTGAGGGAGGACTCGGAGGTGGCGTTACTGTGAGAAGACAGTTGTAGGAGCAGAAGTTCGGGTGAGAAAGGCCGGAGTGATGAAGACTGCTGGCTTTCCTGGTGAAGAAGCGCAGCAGCGTTGAAAGTCAGTGCGCCTTTGGTGACAGGAGAGGAAAAAAAGAAGGAGACGATCCCCACTTGACGACCCCCCCGTGAGCCGGGCATAACAAGGGAGTTGGTGTGTTGTTGGGGGGGGGGAGAGGCTGATAGTAAAAAGAGAGAAAAGAGACGGATAAAGTCTGAGAGTGGAGCGGGCTAATTGCTCCGTCCTTCCCTCATTACCATATCCAATGCGCGTCCGCTGGACTTAAGCCAAACCTCCCCACCTTCACACGGTGCCATTAATCGCCGGGGCATTATTCACTATCATAATTATTATACCGACATGCGCAATCCAACGCACAGTAACAGCAGCGGCAGCAGCAACACAAGAAGAAAAAGCAGCAGCAGCAGCACCGGCTAATTTCAGATATTTTCTCCTCTCTCTCCTCCACCTTCGCTGCCCCCTCTGTCTCTCTGCGTTCAGACTATTTACGAACTTTTTGCGGGTGTGTGAATTGATTCATTCGCTCTTCGCTGATGTATCTGCAAAACGCAGAGACATCTCGGGGCGCAGCAGCATCAGCATCATCATCATCATCAACATCATTGCCAGCACCGACACCACCACCGCCGCATCCAGCAGCAGCATGTCCCGACGCAAGCAAGCCAAGCCGCAGCACCTCAAGTCGGACGAGGATCCCGCACTAGTCGGTGTGATTTCCGAGCACGGTGAGTGGATTTGATCAACTCATTCCTGCTCCCACCAAAATCTCCAAACACCGAGAAAACTTCCTAAGTGTCACAGCTGTGAGTGTGTTGTCTTCCGACCTGAACACACTTTGCTTGAAGCGGTTTTAAAACAAATTATTTAAAGTTTGACTTCACGTGATTCAATTTGGCAGCAGTTCGGGTCGTTTCTGAAATTTAAAAATTCAAGTAAAAAGATTTACTTAAAAAAACAAAAAAACAACAACAGTGCACTAAATGTGGGGTTTAAACGCTGCTCTCCACCACCCGTCAGAGGCACATGTGTGGATTAAGAAGTGTGGATATATTTGTCCAAAAACTGTCCTCAGCTGATGGACGACTCAGGATTAATAACAAATGCAATCCTTTTTCAGCCGTTTACACTCGCAGCACTCAGAGGCCTTTTTCTGAGAAGGCCCGACTGGAAATGAAAAATCATTTCATATTTTCTTTTTTATTAAAATATTGGGCTGTTAATTCTCTAAATTCTTGGTTTTACGCAGAAGCTAAAGCACTGGCACACATCGCGCGCGCACCCGTGCACACACAGAAATACGTTAAAATATGTAAAATATTAGATTTTTGAATTTAATTTAATAATTCTACAAAAGTCACCGTTCAGGTAATAACAGAAAAAAAAACATTTTATTTAGTTTTATTAAGGCGCCTGTATTTTTTGCTTTCTTTCGAAGCTGTGTTTTGTTATGGAAATGTTTTGGGTTTTTTTTTTCTTCGAACCTTCTTTATGTGTTAACACCCCTTACATATATTTGCACACTTGATTTGTTCCCTGTGGCTCAGACTGACGACAAGATCGTTTGAAAGAGCGTTTCTGGTGGAAAATAAATCTTTAATTTATTCTTTATTCTTAAGTCAGCTTTTCCCCGCAGTAACATAAACACAATTAGTTAAAACACTTTAAATTATTGAAGGAATATTGTATGTTTTTAAATAATTTTAGCGTATTTATTGCTTAAATTACTTGTGTTTATTTAAACTTTAATTACAATTATTATAGGGTTATTTCTGCTTTCATACACAGGTGTATCTGAAGTGATAGGATTATAATAATCTGACTTGTAGAGTTTTTTATAACCTCTAATTGTATTATTAGATTATACAAATATAAGGATGTTTTTGGAGGGAGGGGTCACACATTCAGCACAAATGCCAAAAAAATAACACACACATTTAGAAATTAGAAATGCATGATGTAGTCTCTGGGGGATCATGGGGGCAAATGTTTGGTGTGGGGTGGGACTGACACTGACACATCTCACTCCTTTTTGTCATTTCCGAGCAGCAGCTCGCAGCTGAACACAATCACAGTGTGTGCCACACATCTTTTTTTTTTTTTTTTTTTTTTTTAAGACAAGCCCGCGCCCTATAGATCAGATTTCTGTCACAAGACAAAACATCCATCAGGTTGCTGTCCTGTAGGACAGGGCAATGAAATGTGAGATTTTGTTCTCTCAATGACATATTTACATTTTGTATGATTTAGGATTTTTTTTTTTTGTCAAATTACATATGATAGAAAAGCGATGTGGTCTCAGCATATCCAGCAAGATATTAAACAGCCTAAATTAAATATATTATAAATGCAGAACCTGTATTTAAAAATAAATGCTTTTATATTAATATTCTAAACAAAGAATCTCTTTGGTCTGCTGCAGTATTTGTATCACGATGCCTGAGACTCAGCTGTGTTTTTACCTACATCCTTACTTCACCACTGTACTTGCTGGCAAGCTTTCAGCACAGGCGTTGCAGAGAAACAGACTCAAACATTCGGCCTCACACAGTGCACTCCTACACACACACACACATAATCCCACCACATCTTATCCGAAGCTACCTGGCATGGCGTGCTATAGATGTCACTCTCTTATTGTATCGTTGCAGCATCATCTGATTCCTTGCTTGGTCTTGCCATGTCGCAGCTCGAGGCGACACTATTGATTGCTGGCTGTGATATGCTATTACGTATCATGTCAAAGAAATTCAGAAGTTCCACTTATTAGCCGCTGCTCAGATCAGACTTAAAATCTATAGACGATGTGCTGGCCAAGTGGTGAGGCGAAAGTGTAGTGTTCTCAAGGACACACAGCATGTACTGTACGTGCAGCACGTTTAACAACCATAGCCTCCAAACAACATACATGTATCAAGGAGAACAATACACACGTATTAGCTGCTCAGATAAATATCCTTATATCATTTTTGAATTCCTTCTAAAAACCTCAATCTTTTCATATGTTATTTCTGTTCCTACCAACATCCACTAAAGCTGTCTGGGTCACTTTCAAGGTGCAACATCCAGGAAACCAGTATAAACTTAAACTGACTGTGCAAACAACCTCCCTGTCTGACATGACATCTCCCCCTCAGGCCCTCTGGACACTTGCCCCCAGGAGGGGCTAAAGGGGGCTGTGCATGTGTGTTAAAAGATGAGGAGAGGAGGGTGGGTTCTAAAGAGAGGTCAGGGGGTGTCTGCTTCAGAGTGCTTTTAGAAAGCTTGCTGACTTAACCTTTGTGTAGCCCACGGCCAGTCGGGTCCTGCCGTTTGATGACAAGCACCTCGTACAGGTACTGCATGCGTGCGGCTGACCTTGGCCGTACAAGTCACTCACGTTCCACGAGGTGCGAACGGCAGCAGACCCAGTTTTATTTAATGCAGCCACTGCTGCTGCATCAGGGGGAGGGCGCGAGAGGGGAGGCTTTCAAGGTGTATGGGAGAATATATGGGAGGAGTTGGAGGTGTGTGTTTTTGTACAACAGCACTTGCTCCTGCTTCAGGGAATTTCCCAAAGGCAAATGATCCAAGCTGGGAGTGGAGTGGGATGTAAAGGCGGAGTATATTTTCACAACACTGCAGAAATAAGTAAATACTACAATAAGTTTTAGTTTTATTC